ACGTACAAAATTACAGACCTCTATTACCATTCAGCCTGCCTTATCCAAGATTTGCGAAAGTCTCATTCTTGATTCCTTAAGTTTTCAGCTCAGCAAACACATTGTTACCGAGCAGCATGGTTTCATGCAAAATCGCTCCTCCAGTACCAACCTCCTTATCTTTCAAAATGCCGTAATGACCGCGTTTACTGAACACTTTCAACAAGATTGCGTTTATCTGGACTTCAGTAAGGCCTTCGACAGAATTGACCATCTTGCTAAACTATTTTGACCATGTGACCATTTTGCTAATTGCAAAACTAGAAGGATATGGCATGTGGCTCACTACTATGCTGGATGAAAAGTTACCTTACAGGTCGCATCCTCATTGTTAAATGTGACGGATGCCTGTCTCCCCCTTTCTCAGTCACTTCGGGAGTGCCTCAAGGCTCTCACCTTGGCCCGCTGCTGTTCAACCTGTTCGTCAATGACATCTGCAATTCGATTACAACAAAGTTCCTTCTGTTTGCTGATGACATAAAAATTTTCAACAAAATCACTTTGACAGATAACATAGAAGAACTCCAACTCTCGCTCAACAACATTAGCAACTGGTGTAAATTGAATGCTGGAACTCAACGTCTCGAAATGTGTGGTCATGTTCTTCAGTCGAAGTAGCGTGTGGTGCATGAGTATGTTTATTGCATCGATGGCAGCAGTCTTGATGTGGTCCAGAGAATCAAGGATCTTGATGTGATTAACAACTCCATCCCTTTGCCCACTTGAACATTTGGTGGGATACTTCTGGAGTATCCTCTCTGCTGGGTTTTAACTACCGCTCTTTGAGACCCCTTAAATCCCCCTTGACATTAGTCACCCCGTACAAGTCACTAGCACGGCCAATTTTAGAATACTGCTCCGTCATTTGGTCTCCATATCAAGTAAGTTGCCCACATGGACATCCTAAACAGAATCCTCAGAAATCATATATGCACGCCAAACTATTATATATAAACAAATACAGTACTTAATATACTTCAATACTTTCTTATAAATGGTGACCATACAAAGTAGGTATTTTAAGCCAAGTATGAATGGAGATGAGAGTAGGATGAGTGGCGCGATCTTGTAGTCTTGTTAGTGACTAAGGCCGACATTCCTTAGACACAGCTGTTAATTAATAGCCCATACAGCTAATGGCAACTACGGGACCTACAGTTTATGGTGGAATCCGAACCACATTTTTGCCTTGGTATGTACGAATTGGTCTAATTATCAGGATAGTACTGCCATAGATAAAACCATAGACTAACCAACACTAAGGGAGTATGTTTTATCTATGATAAAACATACTCCTGTATGTTTTATCTATGGTACTGTGGATAGTCGTAGTACTCACTAGTGCGGACGTTAATCCACACCAGGGAGTATCGCATCCACAGTGCATGACTATAAATATCCACAATTCTCTGTCAGTTTCAAGTAAAAAATGCGTAATAGATCTATGAGGGGTACACTTCCATATCAGTTGGCACAAACAACCAAATGAGTAATATTGATCATTCGATTGTTTAATTCGATATATCGTTTGGATAGTTAGGTTGACCTTACCTTACTAACCAAACGATATACTGTATAGTAAAAATAAAATACTATACCTCAACCTCGCCATTAAACATTCAGGTTGGAAATTTTGTCCTGTCCGTACGGAACACTGAGTATGTATGCGCTACCAACTTATGAATAATTGTTTAGGCCTACGAACCCAAGAGATGGGCAATTGGTCTATTGACCGTATGGTCCAGCGAGCAGCACATAGCGTTGAGAAGACACATTGGAAAAGGGATTTGAGCATAAACCGTAAACCTCTGTTACAATCACCCACTGCAGTTGTCACTTTACATTTTACACAACCACCATTGAAGTGCCGTCAATGAGTTGAAACCTTTTATGTAAGCTATTAGTAACGCTTATGTAAAAAAATGTAAGTTTCCCAGCCATATACAACACTGATTCAAAGGTCTTTTTTTCCCGGTTATCAAAACTCGAGAAAAATTGTATACACAACGAATCTCTATTTACATTTACGGTTACCCTGCACATTATTTCGGACTGTTGCTCAGGAGGTCTCCAGTTCGAAACCAGCCGGGGTCACTATCTTTTTGCCAAAGATTTTGCTTTGAATGCGTCTACTTCTTAACTGTACATCTTTTGTTAGAATTTGATGCATTTATAATTTTATATAAGAACAGGACTTTTTTTAATAGTAAACCTTTATTAGATGTTTATCTTAAATCTTTTAGCGAATTTCCCATATATAGGGAATAAGCTATTACCGTAGTACTCATGGTAAGACCTGGACCCGAGACCGATCTAATTTTTCATTTTGAGGTCCCTAGAGGCCAAAAACACGATCCGTTCAAATTCATATATATATATATATATATATATATATATTTATATATATATTTATATATATATATATGTCCGTTAGCGCGATAACTCGAGCAAAAATGATCCGATTTTGATGAAATTTGGTACAAACGTGTAAACCTACGTTAATTCGAACGAGTTCGCGATCCAGCATAATCGGACCATGGGAACGGGGGATTATGGGGGGTTTTATGGGGTAAAAATGGGGTTTTCCCATTTTTGAACCTAAAAACAAAAAAATTTTGCGATTTCTTTCTAAAACGTTTTGTTGAGCTTAAAAAAAGAAATAATTTAGTATATTGAAGCGCTGTTGTATGCCTAACGGTCACGGAGAAAATTCAAAAATAGTGTAATTAAAAATTCCCATGTTATTCTTATGGAGAAAATGAAAATTGTTGTAGTTTACTTGTTTATGGGTATATATTGATAAAATTTGGCCAATTTATTTATTTCATCCTAGATACTATTGATGTATGGTCAAAAAACACTTTTTACCTTCCTCGTAGCAGCAAACCTAAGCACTTGTTAAATCTAATGTTATTTAAATAGGGAATAATATGTCTTATTTATTGAAATATTTTAGTAAAAATGTAATCAGACAAGTTGAAATTCGCTTAGTCTGCAGGTTTGCTGCGGCGGGGGTATTTTTATTATCAGCAAGTTTGGTTGGTTAGGTTAGGTTATAACAGTTTAATTTTATAATACTAAATTTTTTTTTTTATTTACTTTACAATCTGTTCTATTATATATTGAACAATAAGTAAATACTATGTAATACGAAAAATTGACTTTGGAACATTAAAAATAGCTGTTAAGCACTCTCAACAACAAATTTTTCAATAAAAACACTTTACAAAAATCTGTAGGGCAGATAAATTTTAAAATTAATTTTATAATAAAAAAAGTAAACATTCATTTTCTTTTCATCTTATATATTTGTTATATTATCAGCAAGTTTGGTTGGTTAGGTTAGGTTATGACCTAGTTTTATAATTAAAAATTTATTTTTTAATTAAAAAGTTAATTTTATAACTAAAAATTATAAAATTAATTTCAATTTCTTCAACTTAGCGGTTCTAGCGGCGAACACTGACACTACAAGATATGTTAGCCATTGTCCCTCCCGTGTGCCCCACCGCAGCTAGAGAAAAATAATCTTGATCCGAACAGCTGTTCGCTATTTCAGAGATGATTATGTGATAAACATTTAGAGAAAAATTGACAGAAATCGCACAAAATTTGGTTTTTAAATGTCCGTAATTTTATTTACAAAGTAGGGAGGCCATATTTAAAAGCTAAAGACACTCTCGCCAATCCAGTGAATACATTAAAATGATTCGGATCTTAATAGGTAGGCCTACTCTCGTTTTTCAGGAGAAGGCCGCGTAAAATGGCTCTTGGGCCGTGACAGACGGAAGACAGACAGAAATTGAGATGAGACTTGCTTCGGCTTCTTTAATGTATAAAACGTAAAAATAACCTAAACATTTATGATTTTGAGCAATGTACAGACAAAACTCTAATTTTATTTATATAGATTGTTACCTAAAGTTATAGTCTGTTATTCGGTGTTATTCGCTGAGCATGTTACATAACCTAGTCAATTCAACTTTCACTCTTCAATTGTTATTACAACTGTATGTCATTTCCATTGAACAAGTTTTTCATATTTGCGTATCACTGATGTATCTGTAGCCTGCAACATTTATCAGCATGTAATAAGCATCTTGTCACATGTATCACTATGTAAAATGATTTTAAGAATGGTGTTTGCCATAAAAATAAATAAATAACATTAGCTGCTTCCAAACAAAACAGCTGTTACAACGTTACAACCCTACTTGCAACTCTGCCACTTCGATAGAGGCGGCCGCCGGCCGTGGTCAGGCCGCTCAACATTCATGACCGTAATAGCATAGACTAACCAACACAAGTAGACTTCTCATCCCATTGTAAATTTTGAAGCTCGTTTTTCATGTCTAGTTCATGTACGCCACACTGGGCGCTACTGTCGACGAAATTTTGTTTCTATTATTTTAGGGTTAATTTCTTGATTTGTGCTTTACTGTTTGGTTATATAACTAGGGGACAGGTTATTGTTTATGATTAGATCGTATTATTTGGTTAAACGAGGTTTTAAATGGCTGTAATAACGGGAAACAAATTGTAAACAAAACACGACCTCTACAGAAAAACGTACAGAACTAACAATAAAATTGTCTTCAGCTGTTCCATAAGGATGAGAAATCTACTAAGGGAGTATGTGTTATCTATGGTAATAGTGTTCATACACGGCAGCAGTCGTTCATATCCATAAGAATTAGCACAGGGATTTTTGTGATAAGAAGTCTTTCGAAGTTTACCGATTCTTGTGTATCTAAAATTGAATTTCGATACATTAATATCAATACGTTATATAATTATGAGTTATGGGACCCAGTATTTTAACATTTTATATAGTGCAGCCTGTCACATTACACAATCAATAATCAATGACTTCTGAGCAGTAGCGCAGTATGGCTTTGATGGCCAGACCTGAAAGAATATCTAGCAGACACGATATTATTAGCTAGCAGACGACAAGAAATAGTAGATTATTTGTTTTGATTATGTCTATTATCAACTAAATTCTTATGAGTGTTTACCATTTCCCAAAAATTGTAGTACCTTTGTTCTGATATTTTTAAAGATTCTTTCTTCATATATTTATAAGAATTCATCTCAATTAATTTTACAATCAGATTTTGTATAAGTGAATAACATATCCCTATTGTTAGTTGTAACTTAGTTACTCTTCTATTAAAAACTTGGATACATGATTGGTTTTACAAATGAATCCAATTCATTCTTCTAATGGAAGAAAACTCAGCAAATGGAACGAATTATATTTCAGTAGGTATCAGTTTTAGTTTTAGCTAAATGTAAAACCTGAGCTAAAAGTAATAAAATACTAAATTTACCCTTTAGTTTCCATAGTGTATTCATCATTCAACAATTAATTATTTACACAAAATGGTTATCAAGCCTAACACCTGTCATAAGTTAATAGTATAAAATAAAACATTGGCTTAGGCCAACTTTTTATCAGTAACTAAAGAAGTAACTACATTTTAGGCCTATAGGCTTAGTGGTTTTATCATAATGATCTATAGTAACTTAGGCCTAGTTTATTCAGTGTTCATACACAAATGATGAGTTAATGAACTATGTATTTTAAATGAAATGTATTAGGGGATCCAGCAAGCAAAACAAAGAGAAAGTAAGTTATATTCAAGTGCAAACACCGGTACTTTCCTGTTAAGGGGAACATTCATTATTATCAATGATTTCTTTTGGATATATCAATATTTTTATTTTCTTTTACGATCCATATTCCATCTGTTTTAATAAACAAATTTAAATTACAGACAGATAGACAAACAGACATTCCAAATTTGTCCAAGTTATAGCCTACTTGGTTCAATAACCGAGTTATTGAGTTATAAGTTAGCTCGTATTAGAGAATAGGATTAAGAACTAATCTTGTTTAGGCAAAAATAATAGCCATATATTGGATTAAGAAATGAAACTATTGTAAACTAACCTAACATAACTAACCAATCGTGCTGTAGGCTAAGATACCATTTCAAAATTCCGTTTGATAACAGAAAAGGCATTTGGGAAGTAGTTTCAATATAATTTTTTATTGTTTGTTGATACTGAACAATATTTATTTATCATAGTTGTTAGTTGATAAGTTTCAAGGTAGGCCTATCAATATATCGAATAAAAAATAAAATATCGATACCTATATCGAAAAGAAATCATAGATTAATGAATGCTACCTTTAACAGGACAGTAGGCCTACCCAGGCGCCCAATGATGTGTATGTACCTTCCATGAAACTTTTCATAGATATTTACCATGCCGACACTTTGCGTGCGTATTTTAAGGTGAAGATAAGTTACCAATGGTGAATTAACAATATGACAGCTGCTTTGTTACTGACTAAGATCAGCTGGTTATTAGACCAGGATAATTTATTAAAAGCTATTGGGTTTTTGGATTTACCCGAAGTTAAACTGGAATCACCATATATCTCAGGTATGTGTCAAGTTGTCTAGAGTGTGTCATCTTCTCAGAGAGCTCAAATCTGTGTTGACGAAGTCACATTTGGTAACTGTCTACCACGCGCTCTTTCACAGCCACCTTGTGTATGGGATTGTGGTCTGGGGACATTCTACAGATAGGTACTCAGGACCTACTACTTCTTCAGAAGAGCAGTTAGGATTGTGTCCAATTCTGGCCATTTGGACCACTGTAGGCCGTTATTTATTGACTTGAAGATCCTCACCGTCTTCAGTCAGTACATCTACAGCATCTTAACTATGCTAAGAGTAAACCTCGAAGACTTTAGAAAAAGAGGGAGTCATCATGACCTCGGTACCCGCAGAGCTGGTGATTTGGACATACCCCGATGTCGTCTTGGTATGACACAGCGAGCGTATCCTCAGTCAGCCCTGAAGATTTTTAATGCTCTACCGGATGAGGTGAAGAACCTGAACCCGAAGGCTTTTTAAGAAACGACTGAAGGATTGCTTAGTGAAAAGGCCGCTCTCTACTCTCTTCAAGAGTTACAAGATGGGTCTCTATTTGAGCAGTAAAAAGCCTCAACACACTTCTGACGCAGTCTATCCAATTTTCATTGGTCAACGACGAAGACGACAAGTATTACAAGTATTACAAGTAATGATCTTGGACAATCCAGAAAAAAATTGACTTTTTAGGAACCGGCAATCTTTTTTGATTAAAAGGCAGACATTATGTTTATAGGAGGACTACCAAAGTATAAGTTATAACCAAAAACACCTGTCATAAGTTAATAAGTAATATAATAAGTTATACTAGTGTACATGTTGCTCGAATTCGAGCAATTGCAAAGTATTACAGAAGTTATTTCAAAACGAATGACAGTCATATTTACAATGAGTTTAAAAGAGCCAACTCAAAAATTACCGGTGTGTAACTCAGACCATGTTTATCTTCGTTATTGATAAACCTAAAGCATTCCGGCCGGTTTTCTCCTTCTCAAAATACTTTGCTGTACAGGCAACACAGGTCATTGATAGAGGGCCGAGAACGAAAAGTAGTTTTGGGGCACATTTTGTAACCTAATAGTTGAGATTGTCCAGGGTCAGGTGCTGACTGTGATGAGTTAAGCATATTACGCGCCACTGTTCTGTAGCTGCGGTCGTTATTACAATTACGCATCCTGTCTATAATTCGTTGTCGTCACGTCGGAGGCAATTAAAAGAAAAAAACCAAAAATAAACAAATTATTGCTTCACAAAACAACGATAAATAGGCTACACAAATTTAAGATACAACCATACTAACACGATCCGTCTTGGGGGTTATGTTTACACAAACTCAAATAGTAAATAAATGTACGCAATACGTTTTCATTGAATTGAAAAATAAATAACAGCAGTTAAATTATACAGCTGATCAAAATGTAAACAATTATATTCTTCATAAGGATAACATGGGAACTTTCAAAGCCACTGGGGCAGAGCCCAAGGGATGGTTTCAAAAATGTAAGGCCAGTTTGCAAATCTACGCGACATGCTATTTCCAATGAGACGTCAATGGATAAAATCGGTTAAGAAATGGCGGAGGAGTTCAACCGACAAAGTTTCATGTAGCGTATTAATTATATAGATAATCAAGCTTTAGGTGGTTATGCATCTAGGATCAAAGAAAATCTAGGTCTTACATTTTTAGTTCTAAAAAGTGTGTAAAACTATTCCCATCCAGTTAAAGTGTATGTGAGAAAGTGTCTCAGTCTTATAGCAGTTGTGGGAAAATGGACCATGTAGAAAAATTAATATAGTTTGTTTTTAAGTTCTATTCATTGCTTGATGTCTCGTTTTACCCTTCTTAATTAAATCTTTGTAACTTTGTCAAAATGAATACTGTACTAAGATGTACAGCCATGCCTCATGGAAATGAAATAGCAAGAGCTCAAAGTACAGTACACAACCATTCACAAAAAGGGCCAGATTGCACTTAAGTTTTGGATAACTGACGATCGGATAAGACATACTTACCCAACTGTGTCGGACTGTGTTAATAAGACATATTGACATTTAGTGCTAACCTTCTTGGGGAGGAAAATATTTTGGTAGTAAGTATTAACTTTGGATTTGAACTCTAAGGTAGACAGCCCATCTCTAAAGGACTGGCATACAGTACTGTAGCCATCCATTTTTTCATTCTAATAGGAAATAGTTTAGTGGAGCACTTACTTCTCCACTCTCCACTCTTACACTCTTAGTTATATACTGTGACGTTCATTTGACATTTCAGTTGCAGCCATTCATTCACCAAGTCGGTGGTCACTCCTCCCTCCTCTGTCTTGATGAAGAGACAATCTGTAAACCTGTTATTGATCGTGAACAACTTTTCTACGAAACTATACCAGAAAGTCTCAAGTCATTTGTGCCCGTGTATTATGGCATCGTTAAAGTCCGCCTGATTCAAGATGGAGATTACATAACCCTCTCTGCAACAACTCCTGCAAATTACAAGCTTAAACCCTCCGAAAATTTAAAACAGTAAGTAGTTCCATAGGTCAAACATACCGGTACTCCCTTTGTAGTAGAGATCCTTATGGATCAGCCAAAGACATTTTTAATGTTAGTTCTGTCCGGTGTTACTAGGATCGAGTTTTTGTTTACAATTTGTGTCTTGTTATTTCATTAAATTCAAAATCTCGTTTAACCAAATATAATGATCTAGGTAATCATAAACATTAGCCTGCTATTTATATAACCAAACATTATAGCACAAATCATCAAATTAACCCCAAAATAATAGAAACAAAATTCCGTCAACCCCCAGTGTCACCAACATCAACTAGACATGAAAAACTAGTTCATTCAAGTTTTGCCTAAAATATAGTGTTGGAACATATAAAGTTAACTTTAGCTAAAAAAGTATGACAATTAATTTTGTGTTCCACACACAAGTTATCGGTATGGATAAAAAAGTAATGACCACCATTAAGTTTGCTGTAAAAATTTTGATATGGTTTACCAGAGCTTATTACAGTCAATAATTTATATATCTGTTCTCAAAGTACTAGGCCTATCATTGTACAATTTAAAAATGTATTATTTTGGACATATTTAAATTGCATGCTCAAAAACCAATGTACCAATGAACCAATCTACGATTCCCTAATTTGCGTGGTAAATATCTTAACCACTCGTTCAAAATAGCAAGTAATTTGGAACATATTGTCTTTAACTTCAAACTGTTTAGTTGCACACTATGTCCTAGGATGTGGCAAAATTATGACCTTCCCCTATATTCTCTTACTCGAATAAACTTATATTAATCATATGAATAAATGGGAGGACAGTGGATATGCACACACCTCAGTATTCATTCCTATGTTAAGGATTAGGTACAAAAAAATTGCTTGTAAATAATATGGGTACCCTGTGAACTACAAGTAAGAAAGATATCTAAAAATATTAATTTAAATAATAATTTTTCAGGCTCAGAGTTCGACGCAATGGCAGTATAGAGGTAGACAGCTTGTCAGAGGAAATGGTGTTCGATGCTTCTGATGTTTCGGCTTCACTCAACCCGTGGGTGCTCAAATGTCACAAAGAGTATATTACACATCTCACTTCTCGCATGGAGGACATGCAAGGACCTCTTAGTATCCTTTAAGTTATTTACTTTTACATTTCAAACCCTAAATTTAGTTTAAACGGTTTTGTTTATTAAGGTCAGTTTTAGGATTGGTTAGAACATCCATGGAGGATTGGTTGTTGTAGGATTGGTTGGTTCTCAATAATAGGACCCTCAATAGCAAGCCACTCTTGATAACAAGTGTAATTTTAAAAATAGGTACTGTACGCTTGATTTTCTATCATCACCCCTAATCACATGCTGTTGTAAACCTCAATAAGAAGTCTACCTTGATAACAAGACATATATGATCGTCCCCACTGGAGTCTTGCTATTAAGGTTTTGCTTTTGAAATATTACTGCAATTTTGTATGTTCTAAAGTACTTTATGGAGTAGTACAACGAATGTGGATGGCTTTCACGTTTATCTACAAAAATATCAAAGAAACATTGCCCTAACCTTTTTGACAATTACGGTATCACGAGTGAATAAGAGTCTTAGTACAAAATATTGTGCAACCAAAGATTTCAATTGTTTTTACGTAACCTGACAAAATAAATCCAAAATACACATTCATGCTGAAGTAATCGTTTTTAGTATGATCCCCATATTGAATATACCTTGTGTCCCATTAATAATCCCCCCTGGTTAATTTTTGAATGGCTGCATGTATTTGAACGAGCTTGGATACACGTTACTAGGGTAATGTAAATTACTTTTTGGTGGTATTTTGAAATTCACCCCCACTCCCAAAATAGGGGTTGCTGGGGGTAACTTAAAATTTTAAAATAACAACCCATATCAAGTAGCACATAATTTTAAAGAGCTTTAAAAAAGGAAATTAATGCCGCAAATCCGACTTTGATACGATGGATTTTCAAAAAGTTATGGCAAGGTTGGACGTTAATTTAACTGGTTTACATTCCATCACTTTTTTTCATGGCTGTAAATTTTCCAATAACCTTTACTATACATGACCAGGGTGAATTCACACACTTTTTAACTTGATTTTGAATTTCATCACCCACCTCCAAATAGGGGTTGCTGGTGGTGTTTAGATTTATTTAAATAGGTACAATCCCCTATTTGGGGGTGGATGATGAAATTCAAAATCATGTTAAAAAGTGTGTGACATCACCCTTGTCACGTGTACGGATAGTTATTTAAAAATTTACAGCCATGAAAAAAAATTAAAAGTGATGGAGTGTAAAGTTCCAGTTAAATTAATGTCTAACATTTCATGCCATAACTTTTTGAAGATTTGTCATATCAAATTCGGATTTGTGGCATTAATTTCCTTTTTTAAAACTCCTTTAAATTATGTGCTACTTGATAGGGGTTGCTGTTTCAAAATTCAAGTTCTCCCCAGCTACCCCTATTAGGAGTGGGGGGTGAATGTCAAAATACCACCAAATAGTACTTTACATTACTTTAGTAAGATGTATCGAAGCTCCTTTGAATATATGCAACCGTTCAAAAATATACCAGGGGGGACTATTATGGGACACTCGGTATGTTAGCAAATAGTTAAGGAATATTAATGAGTTTGTTGAGGACATCTTTGTTTTGTTCTATGAAGGTGTAATTTTTAAGAGTTTTACCCCTTAGACTCAACATTTAAGTTTATGAAGTAATTTTACCAACAGTTGAAAACCACCTAGTTGTGAAAGCATTGAAAATGTTGACTAATCATTGAATAGTGTCCACTGTTTATTTGAACATAAGATTATTCCTAAAAACAAATACAGAATTTATTGTTTTGGAGAATCTAACATGGAGGTTTAGGCTCCCTTGTATCTTGGACTTGAAAATGGGTACAAGACAATATGGGGATAATGACACGCTAGAGAAAAGACAAAGTAAGATGGTGAAAGTAATTTCGACGACGTCGGCAAAGCTAGGGGTCAGGATAGCTGGAATGCAGGTAAATATGGACTGTTTTATTAACACATATATGATATGTGTTAGTTAAGATACCCAGAGTATGTTTCAATTAATGTACCCCTTGTTTTTTTCAAATTTTTGTAGTCCCCTCAACTCAGCCCATCGGCTGATCATGTAACACAGCTACATCCATTTCCTTTTTCATTCTTTGTATATTTCTCAATTTTTAATTCACATAGTTATTTGTATTTATTATACTAGCTCGATCTATGTATTGTTAGATTATACGCTGTAATGGTTATAGCCTGATCAAATAAACTAACCCCGTTGGTTTCTCCACTACACCTTCAGTTCCTACTGCTCCCACACACCAATGCAGTTTTTCTTAAAGGAATGTAAAATGTATGTTTCATTTGAGTACTTAGTCATAGTCATAGTCATATTAAGGAACGCGGCAGCGTTCCGCCCCGCCAAGTCCCCCAGCGGTACACAGCTGCTGCAGTGTATATATACTTGACGTGACAAAGTGGCTTTTTCACTCTTCTATAGCTCTGAAGAAACAAAAGCTATTAAAATAATTGTTCATCTATTGGATAGGGGCACTCATCCTCAACAAAATAAAAAAAAGAATTTAAAAAACTGTTGTGTTTGAGCCAAGAAAAACTAGTTTGAAAATTCACAAATTTTCCGTGTTCTCCTTCTCCTCCTTCTCCTTCTCCTTGAATGTTGACGGACCTACAGCCCAAACCACTGGCTCAATTTTAATGTTCTTTATGTTGTTTGAAAGCCCTTAACGTGTAGATGTGCCTTTTGAGGGTCTCAAGTCGGTGAGTTGAACCATAAACCCTTGGCAAGCCCTCAAAGTACGATTTTGGCCCATTTAAATAACATGGGATTAAAATCAAAACAAAAGAAGGACCAGCTGCGATTAAATCTCAATTAATTTAAATGTTAGAGAAATTCATAGGAACAGCTGAAAAATTATTTTAAAACTTTCATAAAGTATTTTTTCAGGTATACCGAATGATTTGAACTACTTACTATATAAAATTACTTAGAGCAGTGATATTCCCCGATACTTTCCATTGAAAAATGCAGTGTACCGATGGTACACTGGTACAGCAGTTCGTCATTTTTAACAGTTTAATACTACTTATCAAAACATATGAAACCTAGTAACTTGAAACTTAGTACTAGTACTAAGGTTTGTTTTATGTTTTGATACACTAAAACAAGTAAAAGAATCGGGAAAGTCACTTTACGTATGTTAAACCAGCAATTAAAATGTAAATATAGGATTAATTAGTTTTTCAATATTCGTTTTGCCTTATGCTATTTCCAACAAACCTTAACTGTTTGATTACATTTTTACTTCTATAATAAGGGCTCAATTTACACTAGTCTTTAGATATACGGGTTTAATTATCAGAACACTTATGTAACACCAACGCATTTTATGTTGTTCAAGATGAACATTGCTGAATTTACAGCCCCAGACACAGAACCTATATTAATGGATGATGACTAGATTATACAGTTTCAAAGCATGTTTCAAAGTGTGTGTTTAGTTTAAAATAAACATATTCTTGACAAAATCATAAATAGAAACAACCACCCTGTTGACTATACGTTTAACACATGTTTTCAAAAACTTCCAACGTAGCAATTTTTGTTAAATAGTAATTTTGGTAGGTGTGTCAAAAAGTTTTTAATTGGTTTATAGCAGATAAGACCAAAAAATGTAGAATTTAGTTCTACACAAACAATATTATTGAAATGAAATGAGATGTAGTTGTGCCGTGGTCTATATATTTCACCCAAACTATTTATAACCATTTTTAATTACCAGCTGTAAATAAAAAAAATTTGGTGTCTTGTTTATTTTTACAAAAAGAGCAGCATTGTTTATGTTTAGTGAAGAGATCTAGTTCAAGAACATTGAGATGATTGAGAACATTTCTTAGGATCATTTGGTAAGATACCACGTCCATGTTTTAATTGCATTTACTTTCTTTCTAATCTAACATCAGTATGCCTTCTAAAGAAAGACTGGCAAGAAAAAGAAAACAAGAATGGTATTTAGAAAACGCCCCTGCTATAAAAAAAAGAAAAACAGAAGAAGCTAGCATACAATCCACTAATAAGAGTTCTACTTCTAAAGCTTGGTACCTTGAACATGTTAAAGGAGAAAAATCCAAAGCCAGAAAACGTTATCTAGCTAATATTGAAACTGAGAGGTTAAGAAAAAGTGTGCAGTACAGTGCTAATCCTGAACCTCACAGAGCTAGGTTGCGGCAGCAATATTCTGCTAATCCTGAGCCACACAAGGCTAGGAAGCGTCAGCAGTATTCTACTGATCCTGAGCCACACAAGACTAGAGTGCGTCAGCAGTATTCTACTGATCCTGAGCCACACAAGGCTAGGAAGCGTCAGCAGTATTCTACTGATCCTGAGCCACACAAGGCTAGGAAGCGTCAGCAGTATTCTACTGATCCTGAGCCACACAAGGCTAGGAAGCGTCAGCAGTATTCTACTGATCCTGAGCCACACAAGACTAGGAAGCGTCAGCAGTATTCTACTGATCCTGAGCCACACAAGGCTAGAGTGCGTCAGAAATACTCTACTGATCCAGAATATTATAAAGCTAAACAACGTTTAAACTACGGTGCAAAACAAGAAATGAAACAATCTAATCGCAGGAGACGTTACAAAGTACTTTGTGCAAAACACCCTGGCCACTTTCGCTTGCGATATAAACTTAAGGTTTTTCACGAAAGGGTGCGAAAGTGTGCAGCCTATCAAAGCAGACGCTTTTTTTTAGAAATAGATCTGATGGGAAAAGAAAATCATTACAAAATGCAAAAAGGAAAATTAAAAAAACTGTTGCAGCTTCACATATTTTCTTGGGGAAAATAAATTGTGAGAAAATAGCCAGACTTATAGCAAAGAAAATACTTGAGCAAGGTTATACTAAAAGGTTGCTAAGGGCTAAAGAGCTCTTGAAATGGGTGTTGCATGCTTATAAAAATTACAAAAACAATTTCCTTAAGCTATTTGTTAGCCTGCAAAATCGTGCTAAAGAGTCTCTTGCTAAGCTATCTGCAACAAGCACGTTTGAAGACAATGTTGAGGCGTTGTGTGGGCACAGTCTTCATGTTTCCACGTCGGAGCCTTATTTGTGGGAGTTTACGTATAGAGTGTTTCCTGGTAAACAAATAACTGTTGGTAATGAGCCCAGCACAGCTCATAGTTCTCCAAAGAAACAGTGGAAATGCAACTCAGATATGTGCTTCATTGAGCCTGACCACTTAGAGCAACTTAAATCTCTTTACAATGAAATAGTTGCCAGCTCTCTCACTAAAGGTTCTAAGCTTATTGTCAGCATGGGAGAGCACTCATGTCAAAGTGGTGTATCATCTCGTGTAGGTGTTCATCCTCACTCTTTGGACTGTTACTCAGGAGCATGTGTTTCGAAACTTCCTTTTCTGAGAACAATCTATCCTCACTTTCCTGCAATTCGTAGTCTTGTCTCCAAAATTTACCGACTGTTGAAAATAACTAAGAAGATTATGCTAATTAAAAATGGTATTCTTAACGTGCAGGTGAACGTGTTGTTTTCGATAGAAAGGGAATTTAAAGAGCAAACAAAAGCCTTTCTTACAGATGACACAAGTGAAAGCAAGGTCCCTGAATCTGAGTCTCAGTTGTTCGAAAAATATCAAAAAGCATTTGAGGCATTGGAGAAGCGTTCTTCTGAAACGCCAGTGTTTCCCTGTGTCTCATGCGATAAGTTGTTTAGTAAGCAGCAAGTAAGCCTTTTGAAAAACCTAAAAAATCAAATTGTAGGACACATATGGAAAAGAATAAAAGACATAAAGAAAGAAGAGTGCAAAACAGGATGGATTTGTCGGGGCTGCCTCGAAAAACTAAGGAAAGGTCAGATGCCTCCTACTTGCATTCTTAACGATCTCTATGTTTGTGCGCAGCCGAAAGAGCTAACTTGCCTTAACAGTTATGAAAAAGTTTTAATTCAGAGAGCCAAAGCATTTCAGGTTGTTACAAAAATGAACACAGTTGGGAAAAGAACAAGTCGAGCTTTCTGTGGGTTGAAAATGCTCCTGTAATGGGGACGTCCAGCAACGCAGAAGTAGCCGACTTTATCCTTAAGTACATTACTTGCAAGGTTCCAAATGCATCCGTTTCCCCTACTCTCAACAACAGAGTTACAAGTTACCAAATGCATCACCACAACTCGTACTGTATGCGGACAAAGAAAACCAAAACCGGGTTTCGTAAGGCTTGTCGTTTCGGGTTTCCCCGGCCTATCACAGGGAATCTTGTTCTGCGTGACGTTGTCGAGTCTGTAGCTGGCAGAAAAGCTCTCAAGTCTAAGTCACGTCTTTATGACCTACCCAGAACACCAAGAGAAAGCTTTGTCAATGACTACAACCCGGCCGTGTTGCTAGCTTGGAATGGAAACGTGGACATCCAGTATGTAGGTGAAAGCACTTCTATCCTACATTGGTATGTCACAAAGTACACTACCAAAAGTGAACAAAGTCATGCTGGACAAGTTTTTACAGAGATTAATTCTACAAAATCATTAGCTAGTAGACTGTTTAACGTTGGCCTTAGAGCTTTAAACAACCGTGAGTGTGGTTCTTTAGAAGCCAGTGACACACTGTTGGGCATTCCATTGTACGGCACGGACCCGGAGACAACAATAAGATGGTTAGATGTAGGCATGACCAGACGCAAAAGACTACAAAAAATCGACAAGATACGAAATATGGACCCAAGTTCGACGAACATATTCTACGAGTCGTGGGTTGACGACCACTACCCAACTAGACCAGATGAACTTGAAGATATGAACTTATACGACTTTGTGAGATGGTACGATATAGCTGCTCAACCACCTAAAGGCGACCGTGAAGTGCATAAGTTGAATTCAGGCAAATTCCTCACTAAAAGAGTCAGACCATGCTTACTGAATCACTATAAGTACAGCCCCACTCAGGATCCTGAAAAATACTACCATGCATTACTTCTTATGTTTCTTTGTTGGAGATCAACTGATGAGCTGAAAGAGTCTCATGAAACATACACAGATGCTTTTATGGCCAAGCAGACACTTCTCACTCAAGCCTTCAAATATGACAAACGTTTAAAAGACATAATTGCGGCATCGGAGAATGCAAGAGACAAAATTCAAAACCGAGTTGAAGAGATCAATGCAGAAGAAGGAGAGGTTGCTGATCCATCCAATATAGCCTTTCAGCCCTTTAATGAACCTGTACCCGCATCCCAGCCTGTCAGGGACAGCAATTGGTCGCCGAATGACGAGCCGTTTGAGAAAAAATACCAAAAACTCAACGATGACCAAAAGAGAGTGTTTGATTATGTCAAACGAGCTGTTGCAAACTCTGATGGGACAGATAAATATCTGAGACATTTTGTAAGTGGTGTGGGAGGTACTGGTAAGAGTTTTCTCATCAAAACTATCAGCTCTTGGACTAAAAAATGTCTTCAAGCCTCCACATCAATATCAGCTCCCACAGGACTAAGTGCTTACAACATCAATGGTTCTACGATCTACAAAGTGTTTCAGCTGCCAGTTGAGCATGGAAAAACTCCAAAGTACAAAGCTCTTACTGATGATGTTTTAAAAATGTTGAGATCCAACCTGAAAGATGTGGTGCTCTTCATAATAGACGAAGTGTCCATGGTCTCTAATCTAACATTGATGTACATAAATCTCAGATTGTGTGAAATATTCAACACCTCAGACCAAAGTAACGGCTGGTTTGGTAAAAAACATATACTGCTCTTTGGAGACCTTTTGCAACTTCCACCAGTACATGAAGACTCCCCATTCATTGAACTTGACAGTGGCAAACTTAGTTCTTTTGTTGGCTCTCTGTCTTGTGTTAACATCTGGTCTGAACAGTTCTCTTATGATGAACTTACTACAAACATGCGACAAGCTCAAGATTCTAAGTTTGCTGATGTGTTAAGCAAAGTCAGAGTAGGCAATATGACCGTTGAGGACATCCGTCTAATCGAAAGCAAGAAAATACATCTTAATGGAAAAACTGCTTCGGAAAACCTTTCTCTACTAGGAGATTACTTGTCTGCTTTACCCAACAATTCTGTGTGCCTTTGTTCAACTGGTTACCAATGCTCCATAATAAATGATGAAATGGTCAATAGAATAAGCGGTCCTGTCGTTAACTTGGTTGCAAAAGACTCAGTTGACTGTCTACCTCGTCAACAAAACAAAGTTAAAAAGATACTGTCATCTTACAACTCTGACTGCAGCAGAACGGCTGGTATGGAGAAAATTATTCCTATTAAGGTTGGTGCTAAAGTTATGTTGCGCAGAAACATTGATGTCACTGTGGGGCTAGTTAACTCCGCCATAGGAACAGTAACGGGGTTGAGGTTTAATACAGACAATTCTGATGATGTAGACTCAGTGACAATTAACTTTGATTGTGGCATTACCCATCACCTACAGCGAGTAAACGTCAAGTTTCAAGTGATGGATAACGCATTTGTGTATCGAGAGCAATTCCCGATATCAATGTCCTACGCGGTTACAATTCACAAATGCCAGGGCCTCAGCTTAAATAGCGTAATAATTGATATTGGGGAGTCCATATTTACATGTGGCCAATCATATGTTGCCTTGTCACGAGTGACTTCATTAGAAGGGCTTCATCTTATTAACTTTAACCCAAGAGATGTGAAGCCTCAGAAATCCGCCATTCTCGAATACAACAGACTAAGGCAGAAGTACAAATCTGATCTTCCACTTTACAACACAAGTTGTGACTCCTCTTCGGCTCCTTATGTGAGAGACAGGAAGTGGTGCCAGACCAAAAATGTCGAAAAAGTGCAGGATGAGAGTACAAAACCAGTACCCTCTGCAAAGACTACCGGAAGATCGAGAGTTCAGTCAACTTTAGCATTAAGAGGGTTTAAGAACAATGATCGTGTGTCATGTTATGCGAATGTTGCAGTTCAGATGCTGTATTCTGTTCCGTACATCAGAGAGATAATAAAGAACTCGGAACTAATTTGTCCTCAGTTAAAACAACATCTTCATGATTACGAAGTGTCTCCCTCGGAGGTTGTTTTAGATACAGTGATTTTAAGAAACCTCCCTAACAACAATACATATACCCTGACAGAGCAGCAAGACTGTGCTTTGTTCTTGCTGGACTTATTGGAGACCAACAAGGGCATTATAGAAGCCATCTCATACAGCACGGTGAAAACCACAAAATGCCAGCACTGTCATTACACATTCACAGGGCAAGAGGAGACAGGCAATATAATCAGAATCCCCGTGGTGGCTGGTAAAGTAACACTACGAAATCTGTTAAGCCTTACGATGAACGACCACTGGGAGCCCTTGTTGGATTATGTGTGCAGTAATGATGAATGCGGCCAACGAGGATCGAGCCTGGGCAAAGTACACGTCACGAAGTCAAACCGCTGTGTTCTCTTACAGTTTTTAATATTCAACAACAACTTACAAAAGATTACCACAACAAACATAGCAGGAGTCCCAAGTGCTCAAGTGACTATAGGTACTAAAACATACAGACCTACAGCAGCAATCTTTCATCACGGAGATACAATATCACGAGGCCATTACACTTGTACCATGAAGACAGCTTCAGGTTGGACAACAGCCAATGATGAACAAATATCAAACCAAAGATGGCCCATTGGTTCAAAGAATCTGTACATGCTGTTATTAACAGAACAGTAGAGGCAGCAGTTATTACTTTGTTACTAATAAAATTTATTTTAATTTTTTTTTCAAAGAAAATAGAATTTTTATTTTAACTGTTAATTTTCTACAAAAATAAATAAAATCTAACAAAAAACCACTAAGTGGTAATACTTTCCCCGCCAAGTCAGCAATCCAAAAAAGATAATAAATCATTGTTTTTTTCCGCCAAGAAAAACAATGTAATGTATGGCTTGTTAAATACTTCAAAACATCAATGGCATCTTTGCAATGGCAAAAGTTTACTGTTAATTTATTTTCTGTAGTAAAATTACATCATTTTGTTGGTTTCTACTTTTATTTTTTATTTTTAAAATCACCAAGTTTGGCACCTTGGCGGCAGACTTTTGCTTGATCACTTTAAAAAATACCATAAAATTAGTTTCATTGAGCAAGTATCTCTCCCATTAGTACATTGCTAGGTGATAGCTTATTTAAAAAAAAAGACCTTATTTGAGCCACATTTCATAAAATCATAATAATGATGGTTTTATATTTACTGATTACCTCGAAATTATTATACTTAGTTAGTTGGACTAATTAATTAGAGAAGTTGATTTATGAAATTATCCTCAAACGTAACTTTAATGAAAAAACCAAGCAAAAGTCTGCCGCCAAGTTGCCAAACTTGGTGATTTTAAAAATAAAAAATAAAAGTAGAAACCAACAAAATGATGTAATTTTACTACAGAAAATAAATTAACAGTAAACTTTTGCCATTGCAAAGATGTCATTGATGTTTTGAAGTATTTAACAAGCCATACATTACATTGTTTTTCTTGGCGGAAAAAAACAATGATTTATTATCTTTTTTGGATTGCTGACTTGGCGGGGAAAGTATTACCACTTAGTGGTTTTTTGTTAGATAATCTTTATTCAGGAGTACAACATGTACAACTTGCTTCTTCATTCGCATCTAGGTCTTTCATTTAACCAGACAGCCAGTTTTTCTAGGAATTTCAAAGATCTTGGCTACAGCTGGACAATCCAGCCACAAAAGTTTGGCATATTCTACCTTTATTGTAAACTAGCTGTACCCGCGGGCTTTGCCCCGCTTAACTTCATAAGTATTCGTATGGCTCAATCACGTCCTGGTTGAAGTTTGTTCGCTACGCTCACTCACCTTCAGGTTGGAAATCGTTCGCTGTGCTCACTTGTTTTCAGGTTAGCTCGTTCGCTACGCTTACTCGCCTCCAGGTTGATGTTCGTTCGCTACGCTCACTCACCTTTTGGTTGCAAATTAGCTGTTGTCATACATTTAAAAAAGTCATCCCTTTTATTGGTTATAATACCGTACTTTTATAAAGGTTTTTATGTTTTAATATTTAACATTGGAGAATTTAAACGTTGTTAAGTGCACAGGTGTGCTGCGATTGGGGTTTAATACATTTGGACTTATTCAAAAGTAAAATAGTTTTCTGTGCTGCAATCTGTAGAAACACTGTGGCACTATTTCAAATCATGACTAATGCTAATACAGAATGTTGTAGTTATTCAAACTTACAAAACAGTTGGTGAAAGTAAACATCTGCTTTTAGTGCTTTTAAATTATATTTATTTGTAAACATTCTAGATCAAAAAGTCTGACATTGGCCCACTTAAAACCCTCTGGGGCAGAGCCCTTTTGACGGATCTGCACCAAACTTTACTCGAACCATCCTTGAAAGATGCTCAACAATCCCTGAAAGTTTCATTACAATCTGTCGAGCGGTTTTGGAGTCCATAACGTATATACATATGTACACACATACATAGTTCCTCTTTAATAGATATAGATTGCAATGGCCAGTTTCTGAGCCTTTTGATTGTTAGTTGCATTCTCCGTAGTCCTTCACTGGTTGACAACCTTAGTGATTTCCCCTTTTTGTATGCCTAGAATTCCTTTCCATTTTTCTTTCTTGAGGTAGCTTATTTCAATTAAATATCTTAAAAATTCAGATAAGTTTTTTTCACATATCAAAAATTTTATTTTAATAACAAAACGCTGTGTTTCTGATCCAGGTTTATCAGGCATCTTCTGGCAGATTTCTTTGTCGCAACAAACTGTATGGTCGGACATTGACCACTGCCGGGTTTCAAAATGCTGTGCGCAACTTCCTCCACGACGGCACGCGGCTACGCACGGACGCGCTACCTCCGCTGATTCGACGGCTAGAGGAGCTACGCAATGTTTTGACCGGCCTAGACTCGTTGAGGCTCTACACTACGTCACTACTACTGCTGTACGAGGGACATCGCAGTATCAAGTAAGACGACACTGTAGCAGTTGGGTCCTGTCATGTTTGAACAGTTTACATTTTTTGCTAACTTATTTGTTTAACGATTTTGACTAAATTTATGTTTTTTTTGTGTCTTTAGCATAACAGCATTAGCATTGTTTAGATCTTATGGAAGTCCATATCACTTACAACATTTATAAATAGGCTGTAAAAGTACATATTGTATCTTATTACATCATATTGTGATTTACTAGTTCCGGACAGTTTTCTTTACATATTTTCTTAACATTCAATCGATAATTTAACCTTTAATTTAAACTATAAAAGTAAATTTTTTAGCATTTTGGTATCATTAGAAACATTGACACCCGATCATTAATTGTGAAAAGGTCCACCAAATGTTGTCCTACAATTCTTTTTAAACTTTAGAATACTTAAATAATAATAATACTTAGTTCTTCACAGTTCTAAAAAGATAAATTGGAAACCAGAAGCATCAAACGTGGTTGTTTACTATTTGCAAACCCTCAAGCCTATTTACTACTATTTACAGCTCTCAAGCCAGCCTAATTAATTGTTAGATTACCTACAGTACTGAAACCATTACTAGTGTCTTGAGAAGGACTGGCTAGTTGGGTGCATGAAACAAAGTAGTCCTTTTCCTTGAATCTGCTGTTAAAAAGCTGTGTGTCAGAGTGGTTTAGTGCTCGCTTAGTAATCAGAAGTTCATCGCCAGTTATATTCTGATAAACTTGAGTTACTTTCTGTTGGTTAAAAACTGGCCACAGCTGTTCTTGATCATTGGCCTTTTACGATCCTGACTAAACCGTTGATCTTAGTAACTAAGCTACACAAATCATCCACTCCTTTCTACACTCATTCTACATTTATATTAATCTTAAACGCCAGTTGTTGTTGCAATCGTGAAGTGATTAAGTGCTTTTCCACATACACTGTACTGTTGAGATTGCTACTTGTTGAGATGTGTCTAACCTGCTTCAACACTAACAATAGCAGTAACGAGGTGGCAGGGCCGGGCCAGCAGACGACGGAGCAGAGCGGGACCGAGACCCGAGCGACAAGAGCCAGCAGTGAGGACAGACTACTCTCTCCCCCCTCACCAGACTTCAGGTGTCGCAGCGTCAGCTGCAACCCTCGTGATCGCAAACCGTAAGAACTATTTTCAATTTGTATTTTGTTTTTAACTTCCTGGATCAAAATTTTTGTATCATATTTAAGTAGTTCAGTTTTTAATTTTTTTAATGACTTATTTTAACTTACTAACCTATCCCACTAATTAGGTGTAGTAGAGTAGAACTCCAATTAATTATCCGAACTAAAACTATCCAAACCCCAACTATCCAAGACTGATGTACGGTATGTGTGTATGTATGTTTAAAATCAGTCGCAAACTTGAAATCCAAATCAAATTGTTGTTTCATTTTTAATGTAAAAATACTTAAGACATCACTGTATTTGTTTGATTAAATATTTTATTTTTTTTTTGAAGAAAATGACTGATTCAGATACATGTTCACCATGAGGCATTGGTTTTTACTTTTAAGCTTAAGTTTTTTTTTATATCTTCTTTGTTTTTAGTATTTATGTCAAGCTTAGGTGTAGAGTAATTATTATTGCACCAGTTTCAGACCTGTGGGAGTTGTGGGGGAAGAACCATTGACTGATGTAAGAATTATAGACTTCGCTCACTCTACGCACGCCACCATGGATGACAAGGTAATAGTATATTTCGTACCTAGGGCCGAAAATGAGGTTTTGCCGGCTTGAGATAGTTTTTAAGTTTCGAGACGAAGTCGAGAACTTAAATCGATCGAGAGCTGCAGAACCATTTCGGTCCGTGGTACGAACGCTATTTTTCACCACACTATACCCTATTACCACTATTCACCACTATAATAATACACACTGATAGTCAACACCTTAACAACTTTAAGGTTATGCGAAGAAATGATTTGAGGAATCAGCAAAAATAAAAATAAATTACAATAACAACAATAACACAATTCTATTGCAATGCTATGAATTTTGATTGTGTATTTAAAATGCATTCATGGTTTAAGTAAGTAAGCGGACAGATGATTTTGCGGCCCCGGACTGTAAAAACCTGCTCGGTCCCCAAATTACGATGACAGCTGGCATGGCCAGCAAAACGTAACTTTCAGCCACCAATTAACGTATGTAATACAGCCAAAAAAATTATAGTGTGGTGAAAAGTATATTTATAAACCATTTTTTAACGAATAAGGCGTTTTTGCTTTCTTTTTTGTGTTGGGCTTCTTATTGTTATTTTGTTTACAAGTTGATAATGTTTTAAGTTGTTTTAAATAGTTCTGACTTAGTATGTAAATCGTAATTGTATACAGTAGTATATAGTATATTTTATGTTTGAAACTATGTCAATTTTTCAAAATGTAAGGTCCTTTTTTAATTTTGTATGATCTCTTGGTCAAGCGGCTGCAGCTTTGACAGAAAAAATATAGTAAAATTTCATGTTTTTGGCAAATGAGGAGTTTTATTGTGGACTAAACAACTGTTAAGGAACTAGATAATTTTATGTTTTTGTTTTTGGCGTCTCATATCCTTATATAATGATACTAGCCATATGTTTTTGGCGTCTCATATTCTTATATAATGATACTAGCCATTCGTTCAATTAATCAGTTGTCATTCAAGCCTTTTTTGTTGGACCGATAAGTTACATGAAATGACTAAATGCCTTCAAAACACCTTGGCTTTGCGGCTTTTCCAGTGAGCTAACACTGCCAACCAGACGATTCAACTACTGGTTTAACTAAACACCAAAGCTACTGTGCCTAACAGAATGACTGTTTTCTGTTATGACTGGAATAAATTCACCTCCGTCCATTCGAATCATAGAGTTCTGCCGACAAAACTTCAAATTACGTGCTTCAAATCCGTCTGCCCTCTGCTTGGACTTTTAAATAGCGATTCTCACAAACTGAGCTTTTATTTTGAATTATCGAATTGAATTACCAGAAGTAGACTGAATAACCTTAAACACACTATAGTGTGTTGGTGTCATGGTTTAAGTTTAAATCAAGTAAAATAGATTTAACTCAGTCAATAATACATTTTCCTTGCTGTTCCATTACAGGTGATTTATTCTGGTCCGGACAACGGTTTTCTGCTTGGACTCAACAACATGATTCAGCTTCTCAAGTCAATACTAGCCGACCCTCCCAGTAACTAGCTAGATCCACACAGTTCCTCATAAAATCTTTAAGGGTTTACAGTCAATAGTGGTAGAAAAACGACTGATTGTTTATACAGAATTTAATAAATAGCTCGCAATAGTGTAGAAATCTTTCTATGTTGGTATTTAACAATATGTATATTAACGGGTCATTATGTTTATGTCCTCGTTGACGCTAAGGTCAATTTGACATCGAAAAGTGACGTATACTTCTTGCAATTTAGTTTCTCTCGCTTGTGTTAATTTTAATATGTGATTGCAGAATTTAATATTTAAAAAATCAGAGTCTTTTCTAGTCCTCTATTTTGTTAGGGCATGATAAACTACAAGTCTTAAATCATCCGCAGATTTTGATGCAAATTTAAAGGTATTTTTTTATAATGTTTTGATTCTAAAAACAAGTCTTGTTAGATTTAAAGAGTCTTATTAATGAAAATCTACTGCAAATGTTTATCTCTATCACATACCAGACTAGCCTAATTTTCCGAGTCTCCCAAGTGAGGCTACATTTTGAAAATCTTGTATATACCACATACCAATTATCCATATTTTATTCTTAAATCACCCTTGATTATCTTATAATCACCTTAATGAATGTATTCTTAATATTATATTATTGTTTTCAACAGACTTAATAGGCACTAGTCTAATTTAGTCATTACCTACTGTAAGCAGTAGGTAATACAGTAAAATCTCACTAACTCGACAGTCTGTGTATCTCGATAGCCAACAGCTGACAGGGTGCAACAAAAAAAGCAATATTTTCAGAAAATTTAGTTTTAATTGTTGCAATATTTGACATTTTTTAAGATTATTTATTCAGTATGTGAAAATACTCATGTAAGTAATAAATGTATTTGTAAAAATTAATCTTTTATGTATTAAATTATTAAAACCCATTAAAACTTTCAATGTTCTGGATTACTCGACGATCCCCAAACTCGACGATCTCTGGGTCCACAAATCGTTGAGTTATTGAGGTTTTACCGTATTACGATAAGTCAGTAAAAATGGCTATGGTACTGATAGTAATGTTAATAGCTCACTCACCAATTTAATACTTTTTCCTAAATAGTAATCGGTTGCAAGACTTTTCAAGATGTATGTATATACCTTATATATGTACCTTATATATTATGTATATACCTTATGAATAGACCTTAAGAGGTAAATTTTCAATTAAAATGGACGTAATTAATATTTATAATAAAAATAAGTGGAATACTGCCAGTTTTATTGTGTTGTATATATTAATTTTTCTGTACATTTGATAGATAAATTGTGTAACCAAAACATATATTTGAATGAGATCCACACCAGTCAGATTTGTCCATAGTTACCATTATTGTTCAGCAAAAAATCTGCATTTGAATTTTAGTGGTTTTGTTTAAATTATTTTGGTAATTTAAAATAGCTTGCTCACACAAGGCTGTGGCGTCGGTGTGTGGCAACGTCACAACGTCATGCCTATTGCCATGGTAAGAACAGAAATAATAAAAGTGTAAACACAAACATTTCCTATACTGTCCATTATAAATTAGTGCAACAGAAGTTTTGGTTTGGAGGGATATGGTGTTGTCGCTTTTGTCTCGCCGCAGCCTTGTGTTAGAGTGCCTGTGTATTTTAAATTTATTGTTCACACCTACTGAGATAACTGGCTGGGTAGCTGAGTGGTTATAGTGCTGGCCTACTAATCAAAAGGTCGCCGGTTTGATACTTAGAAAAGTCAGTAGCTTTTTAATGGTTCGAAACTGGACCCAGCTGTTCCTGATTGGGCTTTAAATAAATGATCCTGGCTAATGAAACAGCTGATCTTAGTCAGTAACAAAGCTACAGAGATCATCTCACACCATTCTACACTTATCCTTCACTCATAATATATGGGCATTAGTCTCGCGTGGAATGTATCACATAAAACACGGGCTCTCTGAGAATTAAGCCTAATCTAACCCTACAATCCAATGAAGAGTATTATACTAAGAAGAATTTAGAAACCTAAATGTCGGCTTCCTAAACTTATAATCGTTTTAGCATATTTTTGTTTTGTTTTGTTTTACGTTACAATGTTACCTAAAGGTTTGCTAAAATGATTTCAAATATCTAATACTCCCTCCGCAGCAAACCTGCCGACTAAGACAATTTCCAGTTGCCTGAATTGATTTTCAATTAAATGTATTTAATTAACATTAGGTTTTATGAGTACACAGGCTTGTTGCTACAGGGAGGGTAAAAAAAAAACTATTTTTAGTAAAATGTTAATAACTTAGTATATAATAAATAAATTTACGAAGTTTGATCAAAATATATCCATGAACAAGAATACTACAACATTTTACATTGTTTTTTAAGCTCTTTAAAATGGTCTGGAGAGAAATTGGGAAATTTTGTGTTTAGAGGGTCAAAAATGAGAAAACCCAATTTTTACCCCATAAAACCCCCCGTAAAACCCCATTCACATGGTCCGACCATGCTGGTTCGCGAACTCATTCAAGTTTATCCCGCCTTACTTCTTCAAGCCAAATTTCATCAAAATTGGACCAAAATTACTCAAGTTATCGTGTTTACGGACACACACACACATTGTGCACAACGAATTGTGCTTTTGGCCTCTGGGTACATCAAAATTAAAAAGTAAATCGGTCCCGGGTCTAGGTCTTACCATGAGCCCTTTGGTTATAGCTACTTCCCTATAGGGAAATTCACTAAAAACCAAAACTTTTATTGGTAAGTTTTTTTGGATTGTGTCTTTGTATTTATGAAGCTGTAAAACTTGTCCTTTACATTAATTGTGGGCTAAGTGAAACTTTTTTACATTTTTTTTTTATTATATTATATTTTACTTGCTGTCATGCTACTCTATTCAGGAACAAAAAACAGCAGGGAACTGGGCAATTGTATAAAATCAGAAATTTTTATCAGGTCATGATAGTTTATGGCTAAAATGGATCTTCATCAGGCTTTCACATCAGACTTATCACAGAGAATTAAGATACAGAGGAAACATTCAATGGTAATGGTACACTTAAGTCGTGTCTAGCACCCGTTGCTCATGTCTAGTGCAAATTTGATTGGTTGTCCCCTTCCCCCTCACCATCACGTACTTCAGCGCTCACTCTGTAGGGAGAGCTACAATTTCTTTTGGAAACATTAGCCTTTCGGGTTTTTCCTTGCTTGGTACTAGTATATTTCTGCCCCACCATTTCAGAGCTAAAAGTACATGGTTGTTCCATAAACATGTTTCCTCTGTATCTTACTTCTCTGTAGACAAAAAGAAAGTGGAATACGAATCCAAAATGAAATAGTGAGTAGCCTTGACTTTTGATACTTAACTGTATTTTAATAATAGTGAATGTTAGTATACTTTATTCTTAAGGGTTGAAACCTATTTTATAGAACAGATTTTATTGGACCGCTGTAATTTTGATTTCCCATGGTTTAAAGACTTAACTTTAGCCCTGAACTTTGGGTATTCAGTGTATTGATGGATATAGGTTTAGGTTTACTAGCTTTAAGCTATTGTTACCGTTACCCTAGTTTTATATTGATCATTTAGTGAAAAAATCTGTGTTATGTATTTTTTAATATAATAAAAATATATGTTTGCTAAAAATTGATATCGCAACGATCATTTATCCTTGACTAAACCTTAGTTTATTACTTGAATGGTCTATTTTTGTTTGCTGTTGATTCTTTTCCATTACATATTTATAAAACTAGTAATTTATTTCTCTCAACCTTTTTACGGTATATATTTTTAGACTTGGATAGTATGTCTATCTCTAGTATCTATCTCTAAGATATTTGAGAAAGCAGTGCATTTGCAGTTATCTGAATTTTTGGAAACAAATAACTTATTGGATGATAACCAGCATGAGTTCAGACATGGTAGGTCAGTTGTTAGTGCTGCTGTATCTTTCATTGAGTCTGTTATAGACTCAGTAGACAAAGGCAATTTTACAAAAGGTATATTTATGGACCTCTCAAAAGCTTTTGATAGTGTTATTGTTTCTTCATAATATTGCCAAACGGCTTAATCATTTTCAAAATAAACTTATCACACACTTTTATAGAAATTTCTATATTTCGGCATTAGCCTTCTTCAGGAACAAACACAATAACAAATAGAAGTGTTTACCACTCTGAATCATATGGTTTTAGCAAAAATCCAAAATGCATATAATTTATGAAGAAGTAAAAAAGAAAAAGTTTTGATAGAAAGAAAGAAAAAATTTTATATATATATATATATATATATATATAAGTATATATATACTATCTCAAATTTAGACCGGAAGGTGTTTTAGATTTAAGTATTAATCGATGAGCTTGCTCAAGCTGTCTTAATTTCAAGTCTGGTGCGTCTTTTGCCAATTTTCTTATTCCTTTTAATGAATAACATTGTTCAAAATTTTGAGAATGCTCTCTCGCATGAATAGCCACAGGTTTTTGTTTATCAGGATGGTTTACATCATATCTGTGGCCATTCATACGAACTCTTAGAGCATTGGTGGTTTTGCCAATGTAGTCTTTAGGACAATTTTTGCATGAAATTTGGTAAATTACATTAGTAGACTCACAGGTGATGTTACTATTTATGTTATAACATCTTTTTGTTTGCCTGCTTGTGAAAGTTTTTGATATTATAGTGTTAGACATTCAAAGCTAATAGAAAAACTTCAGGTTCTTGGTCTCTCTCAAAATGCTTTAAATTGGTTCAGTTCTTACCTCCATGATAGATCTCAGTATGTAGAAATTTCCCACTTAACTAAATATAATAAAATTACTAAAATATCATCAAATCAAAACCAATCAGCCAATCAGGTTTGGAGTACCTCAAGGATCAATTCTTGGGCCTTTGCTTTTTCTTTGCTACCTGAGAGGAGTAAACAGCGCATTAATCTATAAGCTGAATAGTAAGTTGTGTCTTTACGCTGATGATTCAAATCTCGTTTTATCAACTGCCTCACAAGAAGAAACTGATGTGTGTTCTTACATTGAATTGGAAAACCTTGGAAACTATTTGAGAAATCACAATTTACTTTTAAATCCACAAAAAACTAAATTTGTAATGTTCAAGACAGCTCAAAGTAAAATACTACTAGAACCTTTAATAATACATGATAACCATAACATTGAACACGAAAAAAGTATAAATTTTTTGGGTCTGACAGTAGATCAAAATCTGAGTTGGGACGAACATGTGCATAAAATTTTGGGCAAAATTAATTCAGGAATTCATGCATTATCTAAAATGTCTTATTACTGTGATCTGAAAACATTAAAAAATATTTATTTCGCCCATGTTCACTCTCATATATTGTTCTGCATAGCGCTGTATGGTTCAACAAAGAATTTAAATTTGGAAAAAATATTAAAACAGCAAAAACGAGCAATCAGGATCATGCTTAAGTTAGAGTATGATGCACCAGCAAAAGAACATTTCAAAAATCTAAATATTTTAACTGTTTACGGGCAATATATTATTGAAACTACTCTCATTGCAAAGAATTGTACAACTATCAATTTTAAGTCCCCAGCTCATTCGTATAACACTAGAAAGAGAAATGAGGTTATCCTGCCACATAGATTAAAGTTTTTTGAAAAGAAACCAACCTACACAGGATATACTTTTCTTAAATATATTCCAGAAAACATAAGAAGAGAAAATAATTTAAATAAGTTCAGGAAATTGCTGAAAGAGTATTTAATACAACTGGCCCCTTACTCCATAGAAGAATTTTCCACCTCCCAGATATAACCTACTGTAGATATAAATATTTTTGTTATTACTTTTCATTTTTGCTTGGTTAACTGTAAATAGTAGATTTTAATTAGATTTAGTATTGTATTATATATGACACTATTTACTGTACAAACTATGTACAAAAAATGAATAAAGAACTTTGACTATGACTATGACTATGATCTATTCCCTGTTTTTATGTAGCCTTTGTAACATAACTGAAGTTTCAGTTATATCATATGATTTAATGGAATTTAACACATTGTGTTCTACAAAAATACCAGGTGATGTATTTTATAGTGATAATATTTATAATTTTTAAGTGTGGGTTTTAAAATATCTTTTTTACAAAGTAATTTTGTTATGTAATATTAATAAATTTTTCCACAATGGATTCCTGTATCAAACAGCTCAGAGACGAGTACGATTGTGAAAGAACCAAATTATTAACACTCTGTGAAAAATGGCAAGATATTTTGGAAAAAGCTGGGAGGCATAAATTTAGTGAAGACAATAAGGGTGCAATTCTGGCTGTTATAGGTAGGTGTTAACTAGCCAACTATTTTTTGTTATTTGGTTTACTTATTATTTTACACTCCAGAATGAGACAGAAACAGCCAACAGCACTAATTAATAGTCTATTGTCTGTGCTTGGAAATGCACAGATACCTAGTGTTGGGGCCCCTGGTCAACGAGTCGCACTTCAGACTTCATAATCTCAGTGCAAACTTTATTTAAGAAAAATAAATTTAGTGAAGACAATAACTTAGGTGCATTTCTGGCAATGATTTTGTTGAGTGTACAATTTTTGTTTATATTTAGTTTCCATCTGTACGACAAAGACATTAGCGTTTTGAAAGGGTTTGATCCAAACACCTATCGTGTTGCTATCGACCTTTTAAATAGCATCATTAATTCCCAAGGATATACTTTCTACTATCTCCTATCAATTTTGAGACCGAATTTGAAGTGGACGGGAGAATTTTTAGCCTTTTAGATATTTAGATATATATATATATATAATTTTTAGGATTTTAGATATGATGTGTAAAAACTCAATACCAGCGGAAATGTGTTTCAAATATATTGAGATCAGCAACTAGACAGTGATCTGTTTTAAGGAGCATATATTGCATATTAGCCTGGTTATACTACATATTGATACAGAGGGACGAGTTCACAGTGTTCATTCCTTGACATCCACAAAGATGGTTTTGGACTATACTTTATTCCCTAAAGGCCTGTTTCACATTTATACCCAGCTGTCCGGAGTCGTTAAACCGGCAATTGGGTGATGGGTCTGTTCTTACACGGCATGTGTCGTGGTCCGTTAATCACTAACCCGGTTCCCGTATACTACAGTAGTCGAGGGAGAGGGATGCCGGGTGCCCCCTCGGCGAAGTCCAGCTGCTGGTATCAGGTAAACGAGCCGGCTGGAGTAGTAGGGCTAGTGGTCAATTGAGACTTTTCTCATACAACCACCAACTGTCGTCCGCTCAAACAAGGTGATTTAACTACTGGTTATATGGTACTGTACGGTAGTGCGTAAAATTGTAATTATGTCAAAAATAGATCTTGAATCGCTTATGAATTTAGTACAAGAATATATACACTAGCTCTATAGTTAAACTTATTTACAAAATTATAGTTTCAATAGTCATTATAAAATATTTAAATAGCCTAATCATTTTATGTCATTTCTTAAGTCATCAAAAAGAATATTAAAAGTTCCAACATAGTTTCTTTCACGTTTAAAGGGAGCTAGTGCAGTCGATTCTTTCCTCTTCTTATTTTTAACCATCCATACAAAAGTAACATTGTAATTGCTTTACAATGTTTCATTGCTTTGCTATTCCTACTTATAAGCTGCACAAGCTGGAGTTCAATTGCTGGAGTGCCGGTGTTGGCATAATGTGAATAGTGCACCCGTGAAGGTGCTGGCTACAAATCGGGTTAACGGCATGCCGGATACATGTGAAACGAGCCAAAGTGTTTGTAATTGCTTAGTTGAAAATGCCACTGGTACAACAAACAATAAACAACAAGAAATATAATTATTTTACACGACTTGCAGGGCAGACAAAGCTATTGGTGGACAAGAAGCTGAAGAAGTTTGAAGGTCTGTTGATGGAGAGAGAGCAGAACAGTGGAGACAGCCGACTAATCACAGAGGCCGACCTGCGCGGCTACTGGGAGATGGTTATGATCGAGGTAAAGTCAAACTAGGCCTATTCTATTGAAATATCTATAGTGATGTAGAATGAAATACCGCACTATAAGTATATTCATAACAGAAGTATTAAATACAATTTTGCCAACCAAGAATAATAATTATAATGATCTTGATGCATCAACATAACTCAAATCAAAAACTTCATTCAACAACAGTTGTTACAAATATGGAAATTAAAATAACGTTTAAAACAGCTGTATCGGAACTTTTGACACCTCAGATCTCAGTTTATCAAATGCAGAGAAAAGAAAAGTCAGTCTGAGAAAAAGTGGTGGCAATAAAGCCCCTGCATCTTAGGAGTTGAGCAGGAAAATTATAATAACAAAGGTGGAATTCAGAGGGATTTTAAATTATAGCAAATTTTCCTTCAGAGAAGAATATATTGCTATAGGTGGAATGGATAAACCTAGACCGGGTACCGATTAACTTTTTCATTTTAATGTCCCAAGAGGCCAAAAAAACTATCCATCAAAATTTTTATCTAGGCTATGTGTGTCCGTGAACACGATAACTCGAGCAATTTTGGTCCGATTTTGATTAAATTTGGCAAGAATGTGATGAATTGGATAAATTGATTGAGTTTTCAAACCAGCAAGGTCTGAAGGTACCTACTGATTATTATGGGGTTTTAAAACTGT